GGCCACCCGGGAGCTGCCGGTCCCGCTCAGCCCCCGCTGCGCCCCCTGCACCTGCACCTCCCTCCGGCTTTTCGGTAGGCAGAAGGTGAAGCCGCTGCTGCACGCATCCGCCTCCCCCTGCAGCTTCAGGGGAAGGTGCCCGCTCCTCAGCGGGGTTCACCAGCGCTAAGGGGGGAACTGCAGCAGCACTGGCTGAAGGGGACATCGGGTGCCAGGGGCTGCTCAGCTCGTCACTGCAGGATGGGAACAGTGAGTCCTTTTTGGCCAGGGTCTGTCTCCAAGTGCTAGCTGAGGTTGGTCTTGGGTCTCACCTTGAAGCAGGATCACAGACAGGATTACATCCTGTGCTGCGATTTCCTCAAGAAAACTTTACACCCCAAACACCATGAGAGTGGTAATTTAGATAATTTAAACACAACAGACAAAATGGGTGAAGGTAGGGAATAATCACAGCTTTAAATACATTTATTAGTCACGCATCAGCAGAACAAGTTCTGTGCAGCATCACCGTAGCAAAATCCACCACAGGCCCCTCTGTTAGAGCGCTGCTTTGTAATGAACTGTGACCTGCACATCAGCCCCGCTACGTTTATTTCTCACAAATAGGGCTGGTCTTTTGAAATTTCCCACTTCTTAAGCGGTGGTCCTGGTGTCACTGGCTTTTTCTCAGCTGTTGTCACTGCAGAGCCTGAACTGGGGTAGAGGAAGGAAAAGGGAGAAGAGGCTTTAGTAACACTATGAAAGCCAGACTCAGGTTTAATTATGAGTATGGGTCTTATTAGTGCTAAAGGGGTTCATTAAGATTGTTAAGTCAACTTCCAGCTGGATTCAAGAGTGGATACAGACACAAAGCAGCAGCTTAGCATCCCTCCACCAACCTGAGGAATCCAGGACAAGCTCTGCATTTCTGGCATAAATCAAACAAGGCTTAAACCCGCTCAGCGGCAGCAGGGACAGCCCAAGTCAGACCTACCTGCTCGCCTCAGCCCCCGCTGCCAGCGTCTTCTGCGCCGTCACCACCACGATGGGTGGCAGAGCCTCTCGCCGTCCGTCCCGGCTGCAGTAATAATTACCGGCGACCTTGTGACTAGGACCTACTGGGAGCCGAGGCGGCGGCTGCGTCCTGGACAGAGAACGG